AGAGGTAGGGAAATTAATGTCTTGTCCTACATGGTAAGTAATGATGAATATTCTTAAAGTTGTTTCCTAAGAAACAGAGATACAAGTATACAATTTAAATGTATAAATAAAACCAATCCTAAATCCCATTAATTCCTACTTATAGTGATCCCACAGGACAGAGAAGAACTGCCCCATAGGGTTTCCAAGGCTGTAAATCTTTATCAAAGCAGATTGCCAAATCTTTCTCTTGCAGAACAGCTAGTGGTTTAAAATATCAACCTCTCAGTTAGCAAGTGAGTGCTTAATCATCTGCACCGCCAGAGCTCCTTAAACAAAACCAATAGAAGAATTAAAAATAATAATATATCTATCAATATGTGGAAGTAAGGGGGGGGGAATGGGCAGTGTAAAGTAAATCTTCATCTCTTATGGTATCACAAATATTATTTAAAGTTAATAAATCGAAATAATAATTGCAAGTATGTAATTTGTAAAAGGAACAGAGTTATAAGTAGGAAATAGTGAAAGATAATTACTTCTCATTATAAATAATTTTAAACAAATTAGTTTTCATGAAACACATGTATCACTTGTATAATACATATAAAAACCAAAACCAAACTCACTGCTCTCGAGTCGATTCGATTCATAGTGACCCCTCCTTGGCTTTCCAAGGCTGTATCTCTATAGAAGTAGATTGCCCGATCTTCCTTCCGGGGAGTGGTTGGTGGATTTGAATGGCTAGCCTTCTGGTTAGCAATCAAATGCCTTAGGCACTATGCCACCAGAGCTCCATACAATATATATACAGTGCAGAATATATATTTTGAAAATGCAAGGCATTATTATTGTCCATTGGAAAGATCAAAGCCATTTGAGTGAGCTGTGATCAGTATCCATTCTCACAGTAATTTTTAGAATTGCACTATTGTTAGTTTCCTGGGTGCAATAAATACATTGCAGTTTTGTAGAAAGTCCTGTCCTCAGAAGATGCATACTGAAGTATTTAGGGCTGCAATGTTGTGATGCACACAACTTCCTCTCAAATGCCTCAGAGAAACAAAGGAAATATATGTTGAAGAGTAATTACAATTGGTGAATCCAGAGGAAGATTGTCCAGGTACTCCTATTACTATTATTGAATGTAGGTCAGAAATTCTTTAAGTTGAAAACAAGGAGGGAAAAGAAAAATTCATTAGAATGAAGGTTTTCAGGAGACTTCCAGTAAGATGAAAAAATAGGCAGACAAGCTTCACAGACCCTCTTCAACAAAGGAAAGAGAAAACAATTAACAGAGGTACAGAAGATAATCCTGGAGCTGTGAACTTTGAAAGGAAGTATACAGAAGTGGATTAGGCATCAACTAGTGGAAAAACCTGAACGAAAATAGGACCTAAGAATAAGCTCTGTTTGCCAAGGACAGCAGGGACATATGGGAAGCTGACAATGGGAAAGGAGGCAGGTGGTGAGTGCATAAGTGCTGCCAAGTGCTGAACAGAGGAGCACAGTACCCCTACTTAGATAAAATCCAAAGAAAACAAAATCGTGGGGAAGTTACTTCAACACACAATCACAACTTAAATATAAACACAAAAATGTTATAATTCCTCAAAGACAACAGAGCATCACAGTGCACACAAAGAAGCAAGATAAAGCAGGAGAAACAAGGGCCCAGGATACAGACCCAAAACACATTCCCGAGGAAGATGCAGAATTGGAACTCCCTGATAAGGAATTCTAAATAATTATATTTAGGTATATTCAACTAATTGAGAGACAGATCAAGGAAAA